TAAACATATCAATGTGGTTCATTCTACTTCTTGCCAGAGACAAGCTACTGTGAGTCTTTCTTGTGCTGGAAGTGTTGTTGGAGATTACAAGATCTGTGATCTATATCTTATGGAACGAGTTCTGGATGATGGAAAGTGAGTGTGTTATTTGACAGTCCTAAATCACTTAACCTCACGTATTATTTGATGAGCATAATGGACTGATGAGCAATACTTCACAGTATATGCAGCAGACCATTTTCCTATGTAGTGGTTCAGCATTGTTATTTTAGAACTGATGGTACTGTAATGAACTAAGATATTCTATAGATTTTTGAGGTAAAAATTTTTACCTTGGGAGTATCTTTAATGCGGGAAACTTGTTCTGTAACCATCATTGATGTCACGTCAGACATGTGATATGTCCATTTATATCATTTCTCTTTAACTTTCGATCAGCTCATATATCCTGCAAGTTACAGCTATATGCATCAAATGTTCAAGTTGTATTTTTCTCACTGCTGTTAATATTTCATCCAAAGTAAGATTGATTACAGCCACTTTATAATGATTTTACGTTGCTATATTCACAATGTTCAAAAGTTTACAGTCTATTATAAATTGTTCTGCAGAAAAGAGTTCTTGTAGCATTGGAAGAGGCTGGGGTTTTCACTTCAGGCGGTCTGGTCAGGGACAAGGTCTGAGAATTCAAACCTACTAAAACCTTTTTATTCCACTAGGGCTTAGCCATCTTCTTTGTATGGCATTGATGGGTATTTTGTCAGCCTTGAGTATGTGCAACTTTTATTCAATTAATTTTCCACACTAGTAGAATGTTTTGATGGATGGTAATGAAGGGGAAGGGAAAATTTCATTGAAACTTTTACTTTGCATCGGAGTTTTTAATAGTGATGGAAAGATGATGAAGGATTTGGTTTCCAAAATACTTGAAAGTCCTTTTGTCTTTATAACTTTCATGTTTCCCCCAATTTGGAGGATGTTGGAAGACGTTTTCTCCGGCAAGGGGAAGGAAATTATCATTTGACCACCCCCTTTTTCCTCCACTTCTTTCCTTCCATTTTCCTTAGATTTCTTCGCTCCCCCTCGCCTCCAAACTCCTAAATTTTCTCTCTATTTCAGTAGAAGTGTATTCATATTTGTTCTGAACTTCTGATAGTAAACATCGCATGTGATTAGAATTTGCATTAACCTTTGTTATACCACGACATCTTTTTCAGAGATGACTAAAGGACAGTGATGCTAATTTAAGGAGCATCCCTATAGAGAGATCCTGAAGGATTTAATTTGATGGTTCTTTTGGGAAAGAGTCATGATAGATGTTGGAAAGACCCAAAACAAATTCAGTATGGAGTTGTTCTTTAGAAAATAATTTGTCAGAGGAGATGGTGAGGATGACAAGGGGTTCTAATGAAGAAAAACTTTGTACCTTAGTGGTCATTTTCCCATTGTTTCTCTCCAGTGTTTTTTTTTTTTTTTTTTCCTTTCAAGATATCCTTGGGACCTGGAATTCTACACTTTGATCTTGCATGAATTCTAGTGATTGTATATTTGATGCGCTCAACAAATCAGATTGAAATTGCAGACTATGTAAATGTATAGTAATTTATGGAATTGTGATGTGTTCAACTTCTTCTGTGCAACTTGTAAAGTTCTGATATTGATAATTGTTGCTGCCTACTTTTTCTCAAGGTTGAAGTAACTTTTTGTCACGTACCTTTATACCGGCATCTGCATGCAGGTCCTCTTCTGTAGCACAGAGAATGGGCGGTCATCATTTGTTCGGCAGTTGGAACCAGATTGGCATGTTGACACAAATCCGGAAATTATCTCTCAGTTAGCTGTATGTTGTTAGAAACTTAAATTTACATTCATCTGTTATTTTGTACATACTTTGATATTTTGTGCATACTTTGATATAATACGCTTAATGTCATTTCTTTCTAGGCTGAAATTCTGTCACGCATATATATATGTATAATATTTATATATTTATATATCTCATGGTTAACAAATCATGTTGCAGAGGTTTATCAAGTACGAACTTCATGTCTGTCCTTTTAGAACCGAACGAACTGCTGCTAATGTGTTCAGTGCTTCATCCCTGGAACAGTTCTTTGGATCTATATGAAACTCAATCTACTAGAAGATGAATTGTTATTCGTGAAGTTGATTTCAGTTGTTTCCTTCTGGATCTTGGCCTCTAGCCACCATACTAGGTAGATTTTCTTCAAACTTGTGAGGGTGTTGTCCCTGGGTCTTCAGATGAATGAATACCGTGCATCCGTATCAAAGAAGAAATTTTAATCTTTTTTTTTTTTGCCCTTTATACTTGAGCTTTGTGCAATATATTGGATCAAATGATATGCCACTGTATAAAAATGGTCGTCATCCTTACTTTACAGGCTATAGAAAAGTCCCTCTTTTTTTTTTTGACAAAAGAAAAATCTATTGATCCTTATTTGTACAGCCACGAAACATAGTATTTTTCTCTTTATATTTGTAGTTGGTCATGTTTCTGGCATTAGAATTCACTCTTTCAAATCAACGATGTGATAACCTAATCAGCAATCGTGCCAGTTTGAAAGTGTTTTCTGGCTGGTGGTTCATTTGCATATATATGAAAAGTAATAGGATGAAGGTGTATTTTTGCTTCTGATGTATTTCCCGAGGAGCATTCAGCATCTTGACATTTTTGTTGGAGTAATTTTGTCTTTAAAGTTATTAAAATAAAATATTTTTGTTTTTTCTGTTAAATTTTTTTAATGATCAATGTTTGAGGTTGGTGTCGAAATTTTGACGAAAATGGTAAAAATATTTCGTTTTAATAACTTTAAAGGTAAAATTGGTTAAACAAAAATGTTAGGGTATTAAGTGCTCTTCATAAAATATATTAAGAGTAAAAATATAATTTAACTCGAAGTAATATCAAGATTAAAGAGTCATGATGTTTATAAAGGCAGAGTCATGATGCCTATAAAGGCAGGGCATTACATGAAATTTGGAAATTGACCCAAACAATGATCAGAGGGAAAAAGAGACAAAACATCCGCTTGCCAACTTTGATTGTTTCATTGTGCTGTGTTTTTCAACTACAATTCATGCATACATGCACCCACCCACCCCATAACCATTGTAAAGGAAAGAAAAATGAGCAAATATGGAATGTGTATGGATGGACCGTAAAATTATAAATTAGGCCATAAGTACTTACATTTGGGGTAGGAGATGAAGTATTGATGGATATTGCTTTTCTTTTTTATCACATGTTATTTTTAAATTTAAATATTCATTTCTATTATTATGGATGACCATTTCTTTTATTTTAGACATATGTAATTTAAGATATATTAATTTATGATCGGTCAATTTTCATGACATTGATATACCATGACTAGAAGATAATATAAGCTTTTCCCATTTTGATACATACACTACATAATATGCATGATTGATTAAGTGAATGATTTCACTTGAAAACTTAAAAATATATAACATAAATTTTTTTTATTAAATAAAATAATTACTAAAATAAATGAAGATTTAAATAATGAGAAATAAAATAACATTCTTTATTTTAAAAATGTGATTTTTAATTAATTTTTAATTTCTACTTTAGTATTATTATCAGTATTAAATATTAATCATTAATCATTGATAAAATGTGCTTAATATAATATAATATTTAGATTATCTCTCTACCTTCCTTCATTACATTCATCCATATTCAATTTCATCTACCCATTTAATCGTTATTTTGGTTCAAGGTGTGAGATTGTTAATTATGATATGAAATAAATATAATATCCATTTAATGGTTATTATTAATGAGTATTATAATTTTTTTTAAAAGAATTTAAATAATAACAGTAAATAGCTTATTTATTTTAATATGTGTGATATGTGCAATCGTGGGTTCAATATGTGCAATTGAGCATGTGAATGGAAGCATCCAAGGAATCAACAAGAGTTTGGTTACTAACTTACCTTTTCCGTTATTCTTGTAAGCAATTTTTATTAATTTTATCAATACTAATATAAAAAAATAAAATGAATAAAAGCGTGTAAAATTTCAATATGCTTCTATATAATAAATTTAAAAAGTAATACTCCCTCTGATTTTATTTGCAAGAGAGAAAAATGTATCACGCAATCTCAAAAAAATCAATTGATTATATTAATTATGTCTGAAAAAAAAAATATACTATAACACCTTTTATTAATTGTGTTAATCAAGTCTTTATTAATTATTTCTTATAACTATAAATGATAAAATTATGAGAAATAATTTATGAAATTTGTAATAGATGTTTATTGAATTAATTTTGTTTATCTTAAAAAAACTAAAAGTGATGGTTTTTTCTATCAATAAAAACGAAAGGAATATCATATTATTATTTTTTCTTCTCATAAAAGATAATTTTAAATATATTTTTTAAATATTATTTAAAAAATCATACCATAATTTATAAATAAAATTAAATGAATTTTTTAAAATATATTTATAAATGGGATGAAGAAGGTACTTTGCCTTGGTGCTGCAGGGGATAAAATAAAATCAAAACCTTTTCTTGTGTTGCGCCATCTTTCTTTTATTTTTTTTATGTGAATAAAAATATATCTTTACTTTAAAATTTATTAACAAATTTTCTTAAATTATTATATTTGATATTTCACGAAATGTCATTATTATTTATATATTTTAATAATATTTTTCCATCATTAACACTCAATTGAAGATCAATGCAACGCAAGGTAGAACTGTAAAAGCAGAAAATAGCTGCTTCTCATTCAACTTGATACTATCACCGGGAAGAACTGAAAGCATTGATACGGGGAGCTCTTACCAGGTTCCTGGGCGCCGTCTCAATATTGCTACATACACATAGCAGTATAGCGCCCTGTGCTTCTCGCACTCCTCCCTGACAATGGAGTCCATTTGCCCAATAGACTCGCGGTGTGCCACTGAAATTGCAGCTCTTCTCAGTCCTCCGTCACCTCTTCAAGTCCAGGCAATCTCTCTAGACTCTTCTTATCTTACCAAGCTTTGTCTTTCATTTTGTTATGTTTCCTGCTGAGAAAAATTAATAATTGCCGCCTTTACGATTTGTAACGAAACAGATTAATTTGGTTAAAATAACTGATCTTCTGGTGAAATTAATCGTTGAGAAGTTATAATTTGCTCGACTACAGATGTTCTTAAGTTCTTTGGATGCTGAATGTGTTTAGTTCTGTTCGTATCTTCTCCAGGAATATTATCACAAGCTTTTATCTGCGAGGAAGTGCAGTAGTATCATAGTCCAACAGGATGAAAATTTTGGAAAGGGTATTACTCTGTTTTCATTCGTCTTTTCCGCGCACACAATGCATTAGGGTGTGTATATATATATATATATCTATTCTTTGGGTCAGTGAGATCTTCTTGTTGACTATGGTGTGGTTGCTGCTAGGCATAATCTACTGCTTTCTTGATTAGTGTTGAGTTTGTGGACATGTTAGTATAATTCCCAAAGTAACATAAAGAGGAGACTGTATCAGTGATGAATTGCAAAAAATTAGTCGTTCTCTTATTAAAAAAAAAATGTCGTTCTAGAGAGCATTGGTAAGAACTTGAACTGAAAAAATCATAAGATTAAGAATAGATTATCAGTATAACTGATTTCATCTTGTCTTAATTACTGTTGAGTCTGCCATGTTTTTGTGCAAGTAATTTCAGAAACCATGGAGTTCATCACTTCCATATTTATTACATAGAAGGCCATGAATCGAATGTTCCTCAAATAGGTTCTCTGATTTCTTATGTGTCATATTGTTTCTGTTGTAATTGGTTAATTGCAGGTGTGTATGCTGCCATAGACTTCAATGACGCAGAGCTTGTTCTGAAAGATCAAATGCTAGTTGGGGTTCAACACTCTTCCAACAAGGTTTCTCACCATTTGTTCTTTGTAGCTATTCTGAAACGATTTCTTCTCTCAAGATGGCTTTCCCTCACATTCTCTTTTACATCACAGATTGATTGTTTTGTCTGTAGTTCCTGCTTTCGTTTTCTTGGTTCTATAGAACTTCAAATCAGAAGGAGGCTTTACATGCAAGAAGTAGGGGCATCTGAGAGTCATAATTGTGATATGAGTGACTCTTCAAACGCATCAAAATACAATAATGACACATATTCATCTGATGGAGAAGAAAGTTCATATAAAAAAAGGGAGGATGGCGCTGGTGAATGTAGTTTTGGTAGTCCTGAAGCTAAAGTTCATGTCCCTGAAGGAGTTGTTCAATCATTAATGAACGGCCACATGATGCTTCCTTACTCCAACAAGTTCTCCTTGCCACCAGCTGTTCCATGCCCTGGTGGATGTGGAGAGTCATTCTACTGCAGGTATGGTTGTGGTTGCTTGAAATGATAATATTTGGGCATATATGCTTTTGTTTTGCTAATTTTCTAAACAGAAAAAAATAAGACCTGGAATCTTCTGTTTATTCAATCAGAAAAAATGCTGCTTGTGGGTTGAAATTTCTGACACTGATTGCTCCTCACTTGATTACCTAAAAGAGTAAAACTAATTACAGAGACAGAGACAGAGACACATAGTAACTTGTGGGTACTTTACAGTGATCAGTCACCGCTTGCCAGTAAACCCCTATATAGTTTTCCTTTTCATTATCCAGTTTCCATTCCATTTCTAAAATTCTATTAACAGTATGAGAGAAAAACTACACAAAGTATTGCTGCTTCTGTGTCTCTCTCATGCATGAGATAAAATTTCAACCCGACCTACTACTAAGATTTGCCCAAAGAGTTACTGGACGAAGCTGCTGTGACTGCAGCTTTCCAAGTTACTGGGACTATTTTCTTTCACAAAATTCATTTCAACATAAAGTATACATTTACTGCTTCTGATGATGTTGCCAATACTTGTAGCACATCATGTGCAGAGGCTGATTGGAAATCCTGTCATTCCTTGATTTGTACTGGTGAGAAGTCTGATACAGCACGTAGGGAGGCACTTCTAAAATTCATCAAACATGCTAATGGTAAAAATATTGCATTATCAACATTTTTTCCCAATCTATATTTGTTCTGAATATATTTGTTTTCTGCCTTGCTTGTTCTAAATGAATTTATCATTTGTTCTTCCCCCTCCCAGAAACAAACGATATATTCCTCCTTGCTGCAAAGGTAAAAGTCTCATTTTACTTTTTATTTCCGCAATATGTCTCTTAGATATATCATGAAATTGGTTAATTTATTGGAAAGGCAAAACCATGGCTTAACTCATTCATTTCTTTAGTTTTATCAAAGGTTTCAGTATAAATTTTTGTGTTGTAAATGCTGATACATGAAATGCAAAACTTTCCTTTTATTTTATAATACATCTGTGCATCATGGATTTGTCAATATCATATGGACCTTGATTTCTTGAATCTGTAAGTCTTTTGCATGTCTAGTTCTAAGTTGCTTCAAGCTACTCTTGGATATGGTAATATAATTTAGGCATGCCCGTTCTCAAGATAGCTAACCTATCATTTAAGTTAATCAACTTGTTTTTATAAAATATAAAACTAAGAAATATAGCAATGCCATTGAGAAATTCTCAAGATATCCTTCTGTAGCATGTTAGATGAACTTAGTTTTTCATTTTAGTTTGCATGAATCAGCTCT